CAGTAGATTCACTGTCCACCTGCAAAAGGTGGGATTTAAACCCACATCTCTTAACTTACTTAATTCCTTTCACCATAACCACTAGATGTCTGAGAACAGGCACCCTTACATTATAGATAAATTTTTGGTGCATAAATCCTTTTAAAAATGCTCAAAGAGGGAAATTAATCCTCAATCCAATGGCACCTCCATTACATAAATGGAAATTAAATGGAAATAGGCAGGGAAATTGTACCTGTTCAAAATGTTGTCAATCAGTTTGTAGAGCAACAAAGTTTTTAAGGCTGTAAAATAACAATGTTGGAAGACTTTGTATAATAGGCATATCCAAAATCAGTTATAACAAAATAAGGCTGGTTTATAAACTTGGTGTCTTTCATTAAAGGGATAGTTCATCCAAAAATGAAAATTATGTCATCATTTACTCACTCTTGTGTTGTTCCAAACCTGTATGAGTTTCTTTCTTCTGCTGAACACAAAAGAAGATATTTTGAAGAATGTTGGTAACCAGATAGTTAACGGCACCCATTGACTTCCATAGTATTTGTTTTTCTTCAACAGATGAAAGAAATTCATACAGGTTAGGAACAACTTGAGGGTAAGTAATGACAAAATCTTTATTTTTGGGTGAACAATCTAAGGAAATACAGGCAATCCATGCTTTGCACCACTAGATGGCAGGCTTTATCTTTACACCAGCTCCTGTTTTAGTTACAGGAGATTTCACTAGAATTGCATTTCACTTCAGTTGAGCGTTTTATAGGCTATAGGCTACTGAAGGGAAAATCTGATTTATCTTAATTTGTTATTGCACTGGCAAGTGAAGTTTAATTTCTGATTACCTTGCAATGGGAGAAATCAACCCAGATTCATCAATTTGCTGGTTGTTATTTAACTATTTCAACTCAGTAAAGATAAATCTGACACATGGGCAATATAATTAGCTTTTGGTCTAGCCCTCGGTCTGGTTTAACTTTCTTCACCCATCTGTTTTTATCACAATGTTGATACTCTGTGTTGCAACTTCAGTCCATCCATTTGAGAGAGTAAATAAGCATAAACTCCTAAAATGACACCATATTAGTTGTGATTTATAGAGAGCAGTTGTCAGCAATACATCCTTTAGATTTGTGTGTGGGTGTGTGATATGTAACATTGTATTACATAGAAAAGATTCATGAAGTGACCTCTGTCATTTATGTACTTAATTTCTATTTTCTGACATATTCCTGTTTCAGTATGAGTCTAACTTACATTTCTTGTGATGTACAAGGGGGATAAACACAATGCCTTTTGTGTAAAACACTCAGTGACACAAAATACAACGTCAGCGCTTTTCGATGAAGGTAGGAGGAGCACAATGTTTGCTTCTGCTCCTGCAAAGCGTGCGCGGTAAGGGGGTTTGGACCTCTGCTGTTGTGGTTTTGGCAACTTTGTGGTCCAGCAATCAAAAGTGCTCATGTTCTCTGAACGTTAGGTTGATTTTCACTTCTGTGGTTTTAAAAAAAATACGATAACTGATTATTATTCTGTTCTGTTTATAGTAAAAATAATCTTTTCCTTTTTTTCTCTTTTTTTTGTAGGTAAATTTTTTCTCAGTTGGGTCTTTCTGGGCTGGCTTACAGTTTGGATAGAAATATGAATGTGTGCATGTAGGGATCAGGCCATTTGAATGGAGATTTCTCAGTGGAATGTATAATTAGACAGAGGCCTGTAAAGGGAGAAAGGTAGGCATCTCTCCAGCCCTTAGTCTACCAGCTTAAAAAATACATTCATAACTTCATCCAATACACAGTAGCTAGCTGGTACATTTCACATATGAGTAGGCCTATATGAGTTCAGTTTTTTGAAAGATGATTTTAAAATAAAACATATTATTAGTTAAGCAACAATATCAGTGTTGCTTTTTCGGCCGGACATTCGATTAGATGCATCGTGTGAGATTTATCTGTGACTTCTCTATAATATTCTGCTGCTTTGCAGAGTAAAAGAGCTGCATTTTGTGTTTTAGATTGCTTAATATCTCTGCAAAATGCATGACTTCAAAGAAAGTTTGACTTGGCCGCCTCACATCCTTCCGTATAAGCTTAAATCTCACAGTCGGGTTCGTGCCTGACGCAAATCTGAGGCAGAGCAGGCAGCCAGAGCAGACGAATAAAACCGACTAATGAATTGACATTCGAGACTCATGATAATATGATAAAACACACTGGAGACCTGTGGCTTTTACTAAACCAGTCTGCACAAGTCCGAACCAAAAGAAGCACTGCTTGGTTTTAATCTGTCTCATTCATTTTCAGTGGATGTCTCAATAAAGCATTAATGCTCAAAGTGTGGCTTGTGGAAAAAGCTCTTACGGGAAAAAGGAGCTATTCTTTTCGTTGCCCTTGACAAGTGAACAATAGAGGCGGTATTGTAGAGAGAAGGTCGGGTTGTGTAGCAGGTAGTGTCTGTGGCAGGTAACTTGGGCAAAGCATGGGGCTTTTGTCTGCGTCTGGCTCTCTGGTTGGACTCTCATGGCACTCCGTACCCCCTACCCCCTACAGCAGTGACCGGATTCATCCTATTAGAATGCAGCGCTCATTCGCTGCCTCTGCTCACTGGTGGAGAGAGGGGGCTGTGGAAGAGAGATGAACGATTTTAGCTGGGAGAATGCCAAGCAGAACTCAGTCTTTTCTGGTCTTTGGATTCTAGTGGTTCAAGGATAAGATTTTGTTTACAGCTGAGGCTGATTTCTAAAGAGCAGGCCAATATAATACTATATTTCAATAAAAATAATGAATAGAAAAATGTTACAAAATTATCTATTTATAATGCCTTGTAATACATATATTAAATCATATTTATTTATAAAATGTTATTTACTAATTTTCACAATATTTACAAAATGAACAGGAAAAAAAATTATTTGAACATAAAAAAAGTGTAGTATTTATAGTAAAATTACCACTTCTGTTAATCCTCTGATTAAAAGCTAATATAAAGTGCAGGTCAGTATAAAATGCTAAATTTAAATAAAATGAATGAATAAAAGTACCATTTGTTTTATATTTGTTTATTTAAAAATGGTAGGTGGATCCTGTTGTAGAGCAAGAAAATCCATGTCCAGGCACTCACATAATTAGAAAGGTAAAAAGCCTTACCTTTCTTACTAAGTGAGTGCTTGGACGCAGATTTTCTTGCTCTACAACAAGATCTACCATTTTTTATATTTCGTTCCCCTTCTGGGAGCACCTATAGTTTTGTTTGAGAGTACCAGATGCACCCCTGGTTGAGATATTTTATCTGATTTATTTATTTATTATTTTGCACAATATTTAACAGGAAACATGTTTCCTTTAAAGGTACAATATGAAAGAATTTTGTAATAAAATATCCAAAAATTACTTGCACAGTGTGACTGTGATATATGTCCTGCAGTTGTGTACTTACAATATCCCAAAAGTCTCCAAAGATTTTTTATTTCAGAGAAATTCCAATTTTAAATAAGTGGTCGTCCCGGAAAAAAATGTCGCCTGTCAATGACGCAATATCCGCGCTATCCTCTGCTTCTGTTCATACTGCCATAGCCATGACGTAACCATGGCGACAGACGTGGACAACTGCGTAGTGCGTAACGTTTAGCGGCACGCAGTTCTTGTTTCTTTCAAACATAGACCATGGCAAGCAGACTTTGGGACAAACAAGGAGAACTAAAATGAGGATCAATATCAGCGTGCCGTTTTTGAGATGCCGAGAGCTCCACGTCCGCGACTAACTTGGACTTGACAGAGCTTCACGAGTCACGACTTGACAGCTTTATTAGACAGGTGAGCAAATGTACATAAAACAAATCAATGTTATATAACGTTAGCTCAACATGATGAAATGTTAGAATATGGTCAGTATGTTATTCTAATGTTGATCTAGCTTACTGCTAGTTTCGTATAGCAAACGAACTAACACGTAACATTATAACTTTCAACACACATTTAAATGCCGTTTGTGATAGTGTAACTGTAACATTAGACCAAGTGAAGCAGCGCTGCGTTACCTCACAAGTTTAATTCGTCTAATAAACTGACCTGTGTGAGTAAAATCCAGCACTTGTGGGTAGTTCGGTAGAATTAAATGTCCTTATTCCTTTATATCCGCGGGACTCGCGTGTGATATCTGTCTCTCTAGCAATCGCGACCTGCTTCATACCACTGTAATGTTAAAAAACATGAATGTTTGCCCTCATCCATAAACCTTATTAGATCCATCAGCTTGACATCAAGTCCCATCATTCAGCTCATCACTGCGTCATCAACCTACACCTTTGTTATTGTTGGAAACTGCGCACTCTTGTGGCGAAAAAATCTTACATATTGTGCCTTTAACATTTAAAAAAGTGCATTATTCACTGTTAAATAAGCACTTCTGTTAACCGTTCCGTCTGGAAAGGCTGTTGCTGAATTCTAAAGAGCAGGCCAATATCATGCTGAATTAGAATTAAAAAAAAATATTTAGAATGATATTTTAAATTTTTACAACAAATATTATTTCATGTTATATAACATGCATTTAAATAATATTCATTAATAAATATTGTTTCATATTTTACACATTTACAAAATTAACAGAAAAATGTTTCTTTTAAGATTGTACTCAAAAACTTGCACATTATTAATTGTAAAATGAATACTTTTGTTATAGGGGTAGATTAGCCATAATTTACTCATGTCATCATTTACTCACCCGCAAGTTTTTTCTTTCTTCTGCTGAACACAAAATTTGAAGACCAAACAGTTGATGGGCCCCATTGACTTCCCATAGTAGTTTTTTACGTCAATGCGGCCCATCACCTGTTCCATATTCTTCAAACAAAATACCCTCTTTTGTGTTCAGTTCAGTTTAGTAAAAAAAAAAAAAAAAATGTAACTTTTTTTAACAGCAACTTTGACCTGTTAAAATCTCCTGTAGAATGTTGTAGAAGAAAAGTTGCAGTATATTTCTTTTGAAAAAATAAGCAAAAGAACAAAGTTGTTCACCTTTTATATTTCTTTATTGAACAAAGCCTGGACAAAAGCATTTTGAGTTGGTCAATGCAACACTGAGAGAGAGAAACAGAGCAAGAGAAAAGATCGAGAGAGTTTCAACAGTTTTATAATGCATCTAATAGAGTGTGTCTGGTTGTACTTGGCAGTCTCTGTGGCAGCCCAGGAACTCATTGACCTCTCAGCTCATCTGTGTGGAGATGAGCTTCGCTTAAACACCGCCAACTGCCTGCAAATGAAACACACGGCACAATTTCAGCAACAATCGCACATATACATAATTTGAAATGGTCCTCACTCTGCGGTATTTCAGTTCGAGCCGAAACCACACATTTACCATCTTATGAGATGGTTTTAGTTTGGCGCTCGACTCCTCTGCGGTAAACCCACATATAAGCCATAAATAACAGATACATTTCCATATGAGGCACAAAAATTATGCTAAACATTCCATGAAATTACCCCTACAATTATCGTACAGTTAAAACTTGGTATATGAGACACACAGTGAGGTTTTCCTCCACTAAAGGATTATTTAGCCAGTTTAAAGAAAACATGTCAGCAAAATGTGACCTGGTGGCTGAGAAAGTGCCGACAATCTTAATCATATGATATCATATATTCAAATAGTGTCCGTGCACATCGTGTCTGCTCAATAGCTCATGGTGGGCTGGCCGACATGAGGGTTGCTGACTTTGGTAGACAGACTGCTGAGAGAAAGTGACCTTGGTGGTGCCGATACAAATAATGCGACGGTGCACCTTGTTGTCGCTTGCGAACTGAAATATGGATGCACCGGGATTGGGTTGTCATGGCAACACCTACAAAGCAATGCAGTAGAGGGCGCCAAGGAGATAAAACTGAGTTGAAGAGGGACAATGGGAGATTTGGAGCCAGAATATCATTTGCATCAGTTACAGACTATATCCACCACATGACGACACTAAAGTGAATCTCACTGGCGCTAATGGCTGTCTGACAGTGCATGGTTGAAATTAGGTAAAAAAGATCATAAAAAATTGATTTGCCTCTCAACAGCCTCTCATTTTCAAGAAATTTGAATGTGAAAATGAAATGAAAATGTTCTAATCTATATGCAGCGTATTCATAAGATTGAAATGGAGGGTGAAAGCAATGGCGGCAGCACACTCAAAGATGGAGTGAGTTTTCAGGTGACTGTCTGGACGTCTGCCGCAGTGTCTGAAAAACACAGACATCAGCCAACTCTGATTATCACCCAAGTGTGTGCTAGCAAATATGCGTGTGTGATAGAAAAGAAAAGAAAGAAAAAGTCAACTAGAAAAGAGCAAGACATCTGTGACCAAAGCAGCGTTTGTGTCCTTATTTGACTCTCATTTATTAAATGGAGACAATAGCTTCGCCCTCAGGCATCTTACAATATCTGTCAAGAAATTCAGTCACTTTGAGGCCTTCGTTGACCTCCATGGTGGGACTACATATTTAATGCACTTAAATTGGCTGAAGATTGTGCCAGCTCTCCACTGTGGAAATTACCCGCAATTCATGACTCATACTGTTAGTACCCTTGTTGATAAATCACTGTAAAAGTCCACAATCAATATATTTTATTCACTGTAATTTTGAATTGATTAGAAATAGATTTAAATTAAAAGTTGAATTTTTAATATTAGTCGAATCTAAAATAAAAATCCACATTCGAATGCTAAAACGGTGCATTTGAATTTTAGGTGTCAGACAGCCTTATCAATGGTGCACGAGATGCTACGATGATTCAAACCATACAAACAATTCAAACAAAACCATTCAAACCACTGAGAAATAGAGAAGCTCAAAACCGAAACCAAGACGCTCACACGCTGCTTTTCCATTGGGTCTCTGTAAATAAGTGCTAGACGTACATCTTTGACCGTTGCACTCGAATCTCGTACAATGAGGCTGCATGTTTAGAAAGCCATTTAAAGTTAAAAGAAGTTCAACTTTTAAAGGGGTGATGAACTGAGAAATCAAATTTTCCCTGAGCTTTTGACATCTAAGAGGTCATCAAATTATAAGAATATCCTGTAAGTTTCAAAACTGAAAACGTCCTTGTTAGTCCAATAAAAGCTTTTATTGACACCAGGCTCAGCAAACGACTCGTTTTTCAAAGTGGGGAACTATGACGACAAAGAGGATAAAACACCACCCCTGCAGAAGAAGATCAACGCCTACTTCAACACGGCCGGTTTAGCCCCGCCCACCGATCCGCGCATTACACGAAACTCATTATAATATGCAAAACTGTTATCCACTCACAGCAGTGGGCGTTTACTTCCAAGTCTTCAATGCGAGACGCCCATAAAAACCGAGCGTTTTTGAGCTAGGCTCAAAACTAGGGTAGAAAATAGTCTATTACTTATTCATTTTGATGTTTTTGAATGTAAAAACCAAGCGAACGTCATAAGTTGACCTCAGACAACAATACAAAACAATTTAAAAAGCCAGTTCATGACCCCTTTAAAAAAACATGTCTCTAGACTTTGTGGGGGTTTTCCCATTCCACTGGATCTCATGTTTTTAAATGCAAAAAAATAGTCTGTGTGATCGGCGCTTCGGCTCTTTGTATAAATATGATGCTGTTTTGTTCGTAATTGTTGCAAAAAATTGTTGTTGCAATTTATGAAATTATATTTGATTTATTAACATTAGTTTAAACCTTTTTTGTACAGGCAGTCATGCCATTTCATTGCTTTGAGTAAACATTTTAATGCGGTCCATTAATATTTTGCTCATTGCGCTCTCTTGTGGCCTCAGTTTGTCCCCTAACGGAAATTATGCCTTTTAACTCTTTCCCCGCCAGCATTTTTTTTAACAGGTGTCCAGCCACCACCAGTGTTTTTGACCATTTTCACAAAAATGTCATGGCCATGACATGTCATGAATATCTGAACATGCAATATATCAAAAGAAAGAACAGACCCTTCCCTTTTATCAACACTTCAATGTGGGTAAGTTTAATAAAAAAAAAGTTTGAACAAAAAAGATTTACATGCTGGTTAATGTTGATGATCGCGTTATTTTACATATGCGTATGATTACATATGATATCGCTGGTTTCTGCATTTTCTTCGGATGTTTTGATCAGGAGATTCAGTACTCTCTTTAAAAAAGTTAATAAAATTTAGTTTTTAAACCATTTTGACAGCCCTAGAATAGATCCGATGGCGATTTCCCAAGAAAAAGACCCAACAAGTCTCATAATTACCTGCCTGTTTCTTCCACAATTTGATTTGCAATTTTCTCAGTACATTGAAATGTGCCCATTAAACTCTATATCAGGGGTTCTCAACTCTGGCCCTCAAGATTCACTTTTCAACTCCAAACCTATAATCAAATACATGAAAAAGCTAATCAAGGTCTTCAGGATTACTAAGCAGGTGAGTTTGATCAAGGTTTGGAGCTAAACTCTGCAGGAAAGTTGATAACCTCTGCTCATACTATATAATCTCATTACTAATATCTAGCAAGCTGTAAACCAAGTTAGATGTTTCCGCTTTAAAACCCTCACCGTAACTCTAAATGGAAACTTAAAGATACACAACTCAGTCCTCTTTCCGATATCCCGATTTCCGGTGGCCAGATTACAGACAGATGCACCATGGCTGTTTTTCTTTCAATGGGCATGCGCATTTGACTGAGTCTAGTGGCTTCAGGCTTACTGTGCTATGCCTGACTGTTTTGTATTCATGGTGGATGACTATCTCGCTACTGTTGCTGGGGGCTCTGGCAACCACCTATTAGCTGGAAAACTGCCACGGCTTGGAGTGAAGTTTAATAAATATATAAAAGCCATGCAGTGCGTAATTGGATGGTTAGCGTCAGAGGACAATCAGTTTTGTTGAGGTTGCATTTTAGATGCTTTTCTTTTTTTTTCTCATTCAACTCATTCTTGAGAGTCAGAGATTTAAAAATAATGACAAAAAAGGGGACGAGAGTCAATCTGAGTGTTTTAATCAAATATATTACTTGCACTATATATATATATATATATATATATATTAGCAAAGTCTTAGTCAGTGGCTTTATAATTATACATCCACACAATAAATGTAGGTTATGCAAATAGTAAACCAGGTACTGGAATAGTGAATTATTATTCTGAATTAAATATGAAGCAGACAAGCATACCGAATGGCATTAGAACTGTCTGCAGAATTATGCTATTAATCCATAAATGTTTGAAGACTCGCTTACAGCTGTCATAAACACAGCAATGACATTTTGAAGCAAAGCAATTATCCTCAGACTTGGAGTCTGATTGGAAACTCTAACGATGTGAAAATATTTGAGTGACGGCAATAAATCCCACCCGCTTCTTAGATAAAAAAAATAATATTCCTAGTTCACAGACATCAAATGGACAGTAATGGAATATACTGACCTTTTCCACCTTTTATTTCCATTGTACATTTTGCCTCCGCGATAATTCCATAATAAAGGAGCCAATCTGCTTTTAATTAATCTGCCAGAGAACTTCTTCGAAAAATTATTGAAAACAGCATTTGCCCTCCCTACACTCTCGACAATCTCTGTGTCTGCCAATAAACTGTAATAGTAACCATATGCCCAGCAGGAAGCAAACCAAATGCATTACCTACATATTAAATTCCCAGTAAATTCTCCTTTTGATACGCCTTTTAATGCATTAGCTGTGCTTGTGAAAGAGCCACAAGATACGTCTCGGTTTACCAAAACTACGTATAAGGAACATGTACATGTGTTGCATTTAATTAGACTTTTACTATAGTATTGAAATAAATTTATGCTCTGATCTGAGAACTTTAGATGGAAAACCCCCTAACCAGACACCTTAGCTGCCAGGTGTATCCTAAGTTGGTATCTCCCAGTTTGCAAACCGGTCGTGCCTCAAGGCGATTGAAGTGAGTGAAATTTTTTAAGTTATGCATTTAAGTTCAGAGCTTAAATACAGATCTCGAAATAGCCTGTGGGATTTTCATTTCTCATTCCAAACCCTTGTTTAATGTAAACCTGGGTTCACTCATATCACTCATTCACTAGTTTATACTTTACTTATGGTTAGTTAACTTCACACAGTATTTGGAAACTCTAGGCTAACATTTCTATTTGTGAAATCAGGAGATAAAAAAAATTAATTTAAAATTAATGAATTAGTAAATCTACGGAAACCGCTATGCTAATATTTTATATATACAACAATATAATTTATACTATAAGAATATACAATAACTT